CCCAATGGCAACGGCTCCGTACGACCCGGCCGTTTGCAATACGCGTTGTATATAGCCTTCAACTCCTGAGGATCCCCGGCCTTTGAGTCCATATTTATTAATTAATATAATACTTTAATAATGTATAATAATGTATAATAATGTATAATAATGTATAATAATGTATAATAATGTATAATAATGTATAATAATGTATACTTATATATATGGACTATAAGTTGTTGAAGTATTCCTAGAAATATACATTTCAAACTGTAATTTTGCACCAACACACATTAACAAATAAAGTTTGACAAAATTACAGTCTGAAATGTATAATCCTAGGAATGATTCTGCACGGGCTAGTCCATATATTTTTGATATTATATTTTTCAATATTTGTTATAGTAATGTAGATTTAAAGTAAACCTTTATTTATTAAATGTTAAACATTTATCAATCTTATAAACCGTATAATTAATAAACAATATAAATATTAGATTTTAGGTATACCTTAGTGCCGGTACAGTGGGCTTCAAAGTAGGTGAGCGCCAGTGGATCAACATTGACCTCGCTATACGACTTAACCATGAGCTCCTCCTGTGCCTCAGCCGATGGGAAATACATGCCGACCGTCTTATTGCCGTCGATATTCATACGACTGGACAGTACGGTGGCGTATATGCGTCGGGCGTTGTGCCGGCGCTGTAGGAACACACAGCACACCGACTCCCCCTTCACGAAGCCGTCCGCCTCCCTGTCCAACACAGCGGCCACACCTCTCGGCGAACATATATTCAACTCCTGTTGAAACTGGTATATGAATGGCTCGAATAGCATGTGAGTGCCGCACACGACGGCGTTGTCGATGTGACCTAACATATCACCATTAATATAGCAACTTTGAATAATAACCAGGGTCACATACCGAGTCGCATATCATTCATGGCCAGAGTCATGGCGGACAGACCGGCCGAGCAGGCGGTGTCCACTATCATCGACGGCCCCTTGAAGTCGTAGACATAGGATATACGACTGGCGTAGAAAGTCTTCGTGTTTGCCGTCGTCTGCAACATAGCGCTCTGCAGACTCGACCGCAAGTCCGGCTGTATGTCCTCCGGGTAGCCATCGGTCATGGCGTATATGGAGACGCCTACGTACACACCCGTCTGACTGCCCCGCAACTCCTGCGGATTTATACCTGTTTTATCAATTGCATATTCTATATAGCGATCATTTATTTTATTTTTAGTTTACAAATTGTGTTTAAGAGGACCTATACCTGCATCGGCTATAGCCTCATACGTGATCTCCAGAAGCATGCGGGCCTGGGGGTCGATCTCATCTACCATTTGCTCCATTAGTCCGAAAAATGATGAGTCAAACCGATTGCAGTCCATAATCTTTCCCATTCGCGGACATATGTCGTTCAAGTCTTGCAAAGTATTGTCATTAATGTTTAAATAATAAAATTTGTCACATTTAAACTGAGATCATTTAGTTTACTTAAAACTACTAGGCCCTGATTATATTTCATAGTACTATATATACCTATTGGCCAACGCGTGTCATCACCGGTGATCATATCCGTGCCGTCGAACAGATTCTTTGCCAACTCGTCGGTGGTGTCCGACAGTGGGAACCGACCGGACATACCACTGATCACCACATCGTTCAAAGACATTATTGAGTGAACTAAGTGTTAGTTATCTCTAAAAGTTTGAAGAAAAATCAATATCTTTATACTTTAAGCCTTTAACTGTCTAAAAGCATAAGCAAGGATATTTAACCACAAAATTTGTCACCTTATATACATTATAAATTGCATAAAAATATTATTTTCATTAATCTTTGCATATATAATAGGTTATTGAGAATTATGAAAATTGTACACAATATAATTGTTTGGGAACAAATACTATTTATAAATTAAAAATAAATTAATTAATGTAGCAATCATAACTTATAATTCATAAATATATGTTTAATAGAGAATAATGCTAATTTAACTAAAAATTAACATTTTATCAAAATATTTTGTTACAAATGATAAAATATTACATTTTAATAAATTAATACTGACGCACAATGTTATAGATTTAATTATTTAAATTAATTACATGAATATCAATAAGCATTATTCAATGTAAAATCTATATATAAATAGGTTTTAATAAACAAATTCGCAATATTTGCGTAAATTCATTGGAAAATCATTTAAATTTCATATAGCTTATTAAATAAAGCCATAAATTCATCAATAATATTATTCAGACTTCTTAATTTAATTTTCAAATTAAATATTAATGAGTTTACAGTTTTTTGTTATTATATCATTTGTTATAATTTATTTTAAACTTACATGCTAATAATGTTATTTTTATAATTATTCTAAGAAACAAGTTTTTTAAATAAAACAATAACTGCGATGATAAATTATAAATACTTTTTTAGGTTAATTAATAACTTTATTATTTGATAAAATTAATTTTATTTATTTAACCGTTGTTAATGTTAAGTGTTATATCTACTTTATTTAAACTGATTAATACTGAGAAATATAGACTTATCTTTTGCATCTTGCAAGATTTTTTTGCTTACGACTAAATATTAAAATCATTTTAACTTTAAACCATAGACTTTATAAAGTAAAGATTTTGATATTATTTATTTTTAAATTAATAACAATACGAATACAGAATTGAATAATAATTATGTTTTTAGTGTATACCGTATAATTTTATTAGAGAAATTAGATAAAGGTTATTTGGGTAATTTATTTTATAAAATTAACAATACATTACATGTATATATAATTTAAATCTAACAATTACATTAAATGATTAATAAGTATTATAAGACAATTAATTTTAAAAATTTATTGATCAGAATACAATTTCCAATTAGTTATCGAGGATGTGGTCGATGTGGATACCGTTCCCCTTCTCATACTCCTTGAGTATCCCAATCGTAATGCGTCTAAACTGTGTCAGAGATAT